TGAGATATGTATTAATTATTGTAACTTTCCTACTAACCTGTTTTGAAACTGTCTCATTGCTATTTCTTTCTCAATAAAGTTTATTTAAAAAAAATGTTGATGTCTATTCTAAGCACTTGTTACATATTTGATACTGTATTTTATTGACATCTTATTTTCCTGCTAAGTGCATGTTGTACAATATAGCAGAAAGCTCCTGACAAAATAGGAAGAAGTGACAAGACTGCCATGTAGGAAAGCTAAGCACATGTGCTGTCAGTGTAAGGGAGACGTGTGCATGGAACCTGCAGTACTCATGTGTGATGACTGCCTTGGGCATGACAGTGGAGGAAAAGCTTACTTTTGTGGTAGAGTTCTACTGTTTCATTGTAGCTATTTTGTTGCTTTTATGTTCCTGTTACCTAGGAGGATAATGTACTAAGTTCCGCTTCACAAAATAGCAAGACCACTAAGATAGCAGGTATGCGCTATGAAAAGGCCAGGAAAGCAGACGCAGGCACGGTTGGTGTAAGTGAAGTGTGAGTGCAGGGACCACTTTGTTGTCATGTGTGCAGACTGCGTTAGGTGTGATAAGTGAAGGGTTTTTTGGTAGCATACTACTGGTATTTTCATTGTAGTTCAGAGGGTAATTTATTTCTGAAGTCTTTTTAGACTTTTTACACCCAAACTCAATTAAGGTTGAAAATTTTAATGTTTTTTTATTTTTATTTACTTATCTATTTTCAGTACTGGGATTGAACTCAGGACCTTGTACTTGCCAGGCTGCTGAGCTATATCCATGGCCCCCAATACTTTTTCCATTACATACTGCTTAATATAATAAAATTACAATAATTCATCCATAGAAATATTCTAAAATTAAAAAGGATTTCTAAAAAAAGAATATTAGAATTCTAATATTCTAATATTGCTATTAGACCCATGTTTATATACCTTGATGATAAAATGAGTCTTATGCTCCCAGGGTTTAAATCTAGGGTTAATTGAAGATGTATGCGACAGGAGTGACAAAAATTGCAGGCACCAAAATTCAGAAAACATTTAGTTCCCAGGAGTGCATTAAATATGTCTGTTACAAAACACAACGTATTGAATTATTAAGATTCATATTGGAGCTGAGGATATAGCTCAGTGGCATAAGCACCTGCCTGGTAAGCACAAGATCCCAAGTTCAATCCCTGGTACCAAAAACACCAAAAATCAAAAACCTTCACATCAGACACAACTACGTCTACTTGTTATCAAGTATGAATGTTATTTATGTATCTGTGCTCTGATCATAAATATCGTTTATCTGTTCACACAGGTATTGACCTTTTGTCCAAAGGCATCTACCTGAGTATTTACAAATACTGAAATATATAATTCAAGTAAAGTCATTAACGCTTTAATTTTATTTTAATATCATTATTTCATAATTCAATACATCTTTTATGTGTTGCAACAAATGGACTAAATGCATCCATCTGGCTTATAATCTTAACTGAATCTGACAGTCTAACTTATTTTCAAGACAGAACTCATATTATGGCCATCCTGAAAAATCATGTGAGGGTTTTCTGGTTAGGTCTCATTCTCAGGGAAATATGGTATAATTCACAAATGCAAAATGTCAGAAGCAGATGTTAGGCTCTGTTTCCTTTTTGTAATAACAACTACTAGCATCTATAAAACCCTAGAAAGAAAATCCACTTCCATCTTCTCGGTTGACATGCCCAGTACCTCTCATTTCCCTGAGCCGAAAGTGTTGCCACACCTCCTTGAGATGCCTCCAGGAATGCATGTGGCCCACCTCTAGTCAGTAAGTGGGGGCGAGGACTCCGGGGCAGGGCTCTGAAATCAAGTCTAGCTACTGATGTCAACTGTACAAGTTACAATTTATTGTATTTTGGCACATGGAATTCTATTTGCTTTCAGTATCTTTAGACATGGAACTGTACCTACTGTCCCCAGAACACTTAGAAATTTGCCTTCCTGAAGCGGGCTGTGCTCTGTGGAGGCTCCAGAATTTGTGTCACTCAGAGGGGAAAATGAAAGGGAGAGCACATATGTGGACTTCTATTTGTGTTTGTAGCTACAGCTCCAGTGCCTTTGCTTCACCCCAAGCAAGAATATTTTTCTCTGTTCATGTATTCAGGCTCCTCATACAACTGTCTGAATAAAGTCTCATCTCTGAAGACCACTGATCTGACTCAGATCTCTGCTCAACACTTCAACCCAAGGTGGTATGGTCACTCTGCCCACTTCTTACAATATCAACCAGTTCTACCCAATCAGTCTGAATGAAACCCAAAATAAGTTTCCCATGGTACCAACATTCTTTTTTTTCAAACGGGGGATGGGTCCTAGGGGCACTCTACCACTGAGCCCCAACACCGTTTTTTTGTTGTTGTTGGTTGTGGTTTTGTTGTTTTTGTGGTACTAGAGATTGAACCAAAGGCCTTCACACTAAGCTACAATCTGGCCCTTTTTTTTTCTTTTGAGACAGGGTCTCATTAAATTGCCAGGGCTAGGCTCAAACTTTTGATGTTGTTGCCTCAGCCTACCATAGTGCTAGAATTACAGGCACATGGCACCATGTCTGGATAGCCCCAGCCCTTTTTATTTTGAGCAGAGTCTCACTAAGTTGCTCAGGCTGGGCTCAATGTGATTTTCTCTAAGCCTCACTTAGCACTGAGATTACGGAAGCGTGCCACGTGCCTTAGTTCGGTGGACCAGACCTCCCACATCTGCCAAGGTAACTGCAGCTGCTCATTACTGCTTTCCTTCTGTCTTCACACATAACCCACTTTAGAAAAGTAACAGCCTCATGCATGCCAGCAGGGTGGTAGCAATTCTCCTGCTGAGTATGTCTGCCTTCAACCTAACCCAAGTGCTCTCTACCTTGCTTCACTCTCAGACTTTCCTTTCTAGAGTGAGGCATTAATGATGGGTGGGAGGGGAAGGCATAAAACATCCTGCAGTTCCAGAGGAAGGAATTTTTATTCCCCTCTCCAAGAAGCTGAAAAGTCTCACCCTAAAGAGAACGCATTCTGCTCTCCATTCTATGACCTTATTTGTTCCTTTCCACAAGAGGGACAACTAGCTGATTAGTCAGACAGAATCCAGAATATTCAATGGGCTGAGATTTTATCAGACTGGTGGCTGAGTGCATGAGATGGTGCTATAGTTAACTATGTCCTAGTAATTCAGGGTCTGTTCTCAAACCAGGTAGGAAAGTTACGCTGCAAGTCAGTATGAAGCCCTACTGCAAATCCATTTTAGTTCTAAGAATGACAAGGCCATCCAGTCAAGCCCAAGGCACACCCTTATGTTTCAACAGTAACCTGAGAACACAGTATCAGAATTCTACAGCCAGACTGCCAGAGGAATCCCAGTGCTCAGGAAAAGCATAGCCCCTTGTTTTGCTTTATGTTTTGTCATGATGCAGAGTCCATACCCAGGGCCTCCCACACACACAAAACCACAGTCCCCAAGTCTTAATCAAAGAGCCTTAATGCTGCCCAAATAGCTCAGCGGATTAAAGCACCTGCAGGCAGTCACAAGGGCCCGGAGTTCGACTGGGGCCTGCCGTGCCAACCTTGCCCCTGGGGCACACTGAGACTGAGATTGAGACTGGGCGTGGTGGCACTTGCCTATAATCCCAGCTCTTGGGAGACTGTCAACAGGCAGATCACTAGGAGTCTGATCTAGCAGTGAGGCCCTGAACACCCTGTAGACCCTTCCCTGAAATACAAACAAAAACAAAAACAAAGAGACTTGATCTTAGATCAACACTACAGATATCTTTTATATGTCATTTTATAAGAGGGTCACGTGTCTCACCTTTTAATTCTCAAAGCATGTGGTTTCTTTTTTACATATATACACAAGCACTTTTAAACATAAACACCAAAATCTCAGGAGAATAAATTTAAGCAACCAAAAGCATGGAAGAAAAGGCCAGTCACCCAACTTGAACATCTCTGGCCTCAACTGGACATATTATCCAAAACATCTTATGTACATGGTCCACAGGTTGTCCTCTGAGAGTCTTAAAGAAATCAATAGCCATACTTGTCATTAAGATGGGTTCTGCCATCTCCACTTTGACCTACATTAAGGTATAAAAAAAGAAAGAACTATATTTACTATTACAAAATCAAGAGGGAAAAAATATCCAGACATTAATTGGCCAAAATTAAAACAAATAAGGAAGTTTCTTCTATAGTAGAAATTTTACTTTTTGCATATAACCTCAGAATATAGTGCTCTTTTCACTTCCACCCTAACATTTATTAGCACATGAAAAGCAAACACTTCCAATAACTAAAATTCTATTAACTACTAGTACCTTAGAAATCCCATCTACAGAAAAAGCAACATGCATGAGAAGATGGGGGAATACATTTCATTCACTGCTATGTATATACACAAGCACAAAACTAGTACAATTTTTACATAATGCAATTTAGACTATCTTCAAAATAACTCTGCATGTTAACTTATTTTTCCTACATATGCACTTTTTACTTTATACATTACACATATTACAAAGTTACATATGCTATTTTTAAATTTTTTTATTTTTTGTATTTTAGGGAAGGGTCTACAGGGTGTTCAGGGTCTCACTACTAGATTGGACTCATAGTAATCTGCCTGTTTACAGCCTCCCAAGAGCTGGGATTACAGGTGCACGCCACCACACCCAGTCTCAACTGCTGTCTCAGTGCACCCCATGGGCAGGGCCAGCACAGCAGGCCCAGGGATCAAACCCCCCAGCCCCTGTGTCTGCTTGCAGGTGCTTTAATCCATTGAGCTATTTGGCCGACCCCACAAAGTTACATAAGTTATAAGTTACTTATTGTAGAGGCTTGTAATGACCAAAACACCCCCAAAAATCAAAAAAACTGGCAACAGCAAATCTGCTGAGCAAACTTTTCAAATAAAATGTTTCCACTTGTGCAGAAAAAATGGTAAGCTGTGTTTTATTGCCTAAGTAGACATTTTATATATTAGATAAGTATTAATAACAAACTGAATGTATTTGGTTGTCCTTAGAGAAAAAAGCAGCTGAGGCATAGCCTAAAGATTTTTTGCTTCCTGTTAACTTAATAAAGTTAAAATACATACAAAAGTAAATAAAAGGTGGGCATGGTGGTGCATAGTTATAATCTCAGCACTTGGAAGCCTGAGCCAGGAAAATAACAAAATCGAGGCCAACCTAGGCTACACAGTGAGTTCAAGACCAGCCTGAACCATATAATGAAACCCTGTCTCAAGCCAAACCAAACCAAACCGAGCCGAGCCGAACCAAAACAAAAAGCTATAATGAACCCCTCTGTACTCTTTACCTAGATTTAATAATTATCACTATCCTGCTTTATCTATTACCCTTCTCTATCTTCTCTCATCCTCCACCACTGGATTATTTTAAAGTTAATTTCAGATGTCATTCCATCTGTAAATCCAGGGGCCTGCCCATTAGCTTGGGGGCCTGCCCATTAGCTCAGGTGTTTAAGCGCCTGCTGAAACAAAGCAGTCAGGCTCACGATGCTGTGGTTCGATCCCCTCATCCTCAAGCCAAACCAGACCTGCCCTGAAGGTAACCTGAGCAGCCAAAAAAAAAAAAAAAAAAAAAAAATCCTTTCAATCCCCAGTTCTGCAAAAAAAAAAAAAAAAAATCAACTTTCTTTGTTCTGCCAAAAAAAAAAAATTAAGCCATCTGTAAATCCATTTGTATTATAGGATCTTTTGGGGGAGGAGGGGAAAAAAAGAATATTAAGAACTTTGCCCCACCAGTTGGCTGGGGTAGCACATGCCTGTAGTCCCAGCACTCTGGAGGCTGAGGCAGGAGTGCCACAAGCTTGAGGCCACCCTTGGGCTACGTAGTGAGTTTAAGGGCAACCTGAACTACATAGTAAGATCCTGTCTTTTTCTTTTTAAAGTAACTTTTATTTTTTTTTATTTTTGCGGTACCAGGGATTGAATTTAGGACCCTGCACTTGCCAGGCAAGCATTTATTCTACTGAGCTATCTCTCTGGCCCCAGGATCCTGTCTTTTAAAAAATAAAAATAAAAAACAACTCTGCCTTAAAACCTAGCATCATTTTAAAAATCTTATTTCTTGCCACCATTATTTTTTTTTTCTTTTTTGGGGGTCTTTTTTGAGACAGGGTTTCATTATGCAGTTCAAGGCTAGCTTTGAACTTTTCACAATCAGCACTCAGCTTACCTTAGATCTTCTAATCAGTTCCTGAAGACCTTTCACTCTATATTCTTAACTTTCTCATTTTGAACTTTAAATGCACATTAACTATTTAAGAGCATAATCTTAGAGGGAGGAAAAATATAAACAATGTACCTTCAGGTGGAACCCATACACAGTAGTCTGGATCATCTTCAGGATATTTTGAAGAAAGTGTAGGTACAAACTATAAAGAAAAGATGGGTTATTTTACTAAAAAAAATTAATTCTATGAATCACCATCCTTACATGCCTCTGCAAACCAAAAGTGAAGGACGCCAGCTTCCACCAATGATTTGTATTTTTTGAGACAGTCTTACTATGCATGCAGCTCAGGCTGGCTCTAAACTTTGAGTGATCTTTCTAACTCAGCCTTTTTTTTTTTAATTTCAGGGAAGGGTCTACAGGGTGTTCAGAGTCTCACTACTAGATCAGACTCCTAGTGATCCGCCTGTTGACAGCCTCCCAAGAGCTGGGATTACAGGCAAGTGCCACCACGCCCAGTCTCAATCTCGGTCTCAGCATGCCCCAGGGGCAGGGTGCCCCCCCCCCCTTGCCATCAAGCCTGCTCCTGCTTGCAGGTACTTTAATCTGTTGAGCTATTTGGCCGGCCCTACCTCAGCCTTCTCAGTTATGGGATTACAGTGTGTGACACCATCATTACTGATTTTGAGGGAGCATTCTCTTTCTGAATCTTGAATTTTTTCCACAAAACTTCAACAAGCTGATTCTCTAGCCTGTGCAAATGAGGAGCCATTCCCTAACATGGGAGGTAAAACGCTGCAGATATACTTAATGGAGTCTGGCATGGCAGCACATGCCTATAATCCCAGCATTCGAGGAAGCTGAGGCAGAAGGATCACTGTGAGTTCAAGGCCAGCTTGGGCTACGGGCTACGTAAGTAAGTTCAAGGCCAGTCTGTACTACTTATTAAGACCCTGCCTCAGAAAACAAAACAGAGCAGAACAAAAACAAAAGAAACTTAATGGAGCAACCTGGAGGAAAGGAGGAAGGGAAATCTGGCGACTACCTTTTGACTTAGGAAAAAAGAGTTTACAGAACAAGCCTGACTCTTAACCTTGTAAGGCTGGCCTTCAGCTGGTTTCTGAGAACTTGCATTTCCGGAGGGTGACTACTGCCTTGATGCAGGTGACTTACTATGCCTCCACAGTCCAAACAATGTAGCTTGTCTACTGCTTTCTGTCTGGGAGTCTGGAGTTTGGGTCCAGAACAGGCTAGGAAGGCCAAATCAATCCCCAACAAACATCCTTCACTGAGTCTCTAATGAGTTTCTTGTTAGCAACATTTCACATTTGCAAGAACTCACTGTTAGACAGTTAGGCACATCTTCATTGGAAGAGGGCCCTTCCAACCCTGCCTCTGTTCCCCCACAGTTTCACCCTTTCCTGCTGTGCCTCATACCCTTCTGCTATAGGAAATCATAGCTGTGAGTACAGCCAAATGCTAAATCCTTTTATGAATTACCTGAGGGTGGACTTGGGGCCTCCTGATACAACCTGGCAATCCCACTTCTGGGGATTTACCATACCCCCTCAGAGTTACATATACTTAACATTATTGGTTACAGCACTGGAGTAATAAAAGACTAGAAGCAATCCAAGGGTCTACTATCTACAGAAAACTGGTTAAGTAAGGTATGATTTTCATGATAGGTTAAAAAATTGAGATATAGAATGGAGTACATTAATTATCTTTTGTGTAATAAAAGAGAAAAATAACATATTCTAATGTCAGGATATGAAGATTCACATTAGTAAAACAGGTAGCCTGTATGAGACCAGTTATAAAGAATAGGATAGACAGAGATAAGAACAGGGAATTCACAAAACTTAAAAAGTCCAGATCTCTAGGAGAGAAGCTAAAGCTACTGAGAATTCTGTTAAGTCGGACTCTAAGGTCTCACCGTCAGGTACACAGCTCATGACAAGCACAGTCATTCGCACTTTAGGAGAAGTGAAGTACTTACTTTGCTTGGACCAGGAGCTTTCTTTTTCTTCAATTCATCAGTGCTGCTCTTATGTTCATTCTCTGATACTAATTTAAGAAAGAAACAGTAATGACTACTTTCAGAAAAAGAAATATTTAAAAAAGAAAATTTAAAAAAGAAAAAAATCCTCAAGAGTGTTATAAGTACTTTTAAAAGTTAGCAATATTTACCACTGTAGTAGGGGCACAGTGGCACACACCTATAATCCCAGCACTCTGCAGGTGGAGACAGGAACATCACTGTGAGTTCAAGGATAGTCTGAGCTAGACTGTTATTTCTACCTGCCATCTCCACGGAGGAGCCCTGAGTATTCATGACTAGAGAAAAACCCAGCCCATTGCTGGACACTGACAAGGTTCTCTTCGTCCTTCTCCAGCCCTGACTTTCCTTCCAACCATCGTACCGCATAAAAAGACTTCAAAAGACATCTTGCTTTAGCTATAACTGAGATATTGCAAGATATTCAGGTTGCTAACTAATCTTAATTATGCTGAGACTGATGTTTTACAAACGTAATATATTGTTGTTCATGTACAAGATTTAAAAGATATTTTATTGGTTTAATCTGACTAAATGCTTTTGTATTTCATGATAAGTGTATAAGTTAATCTGGTTGATTTCTGATGTAATGCAGGTATTTCATGTTGATAATAAATACATGTGTGACCGCTCT